CCCCAAAAAGGTCCAAGAAGAAGAAGCGCAGGACCCAATACTCCAAGGACGAGGTGCGGGAGTAGAGTGCTGGGGTTCGGGTTAGTCCTTTTGGGGACTTGGTTGACGACCCTGAAGCCAGRATGGGTGGTACCACCGACATCGAGATGAGGTTCAAGGTTGAGCCATCCAGTGCTGGCGTAAGGGAAAGGGCTATGGAGATGTCGAGCTCCTGCTTCGACCGCTGCTGGAGGAGGGCTTCCAAGTTTGTCAACGCTCCTGGGTCTGCCATCCAACGACTGTTGTATTTTACTGCTGAGGTGAGATCTTGCTTGCCTTCCTTTGCTTCTTCGTCATTAAATTTATACTAATGCTTAAGTTCCCTTTGTTCCTATTCGCAGACTCACGCTGCAGCCTACCAGACTACCATAATGATGAAGGCCGAGCTGGAGGGGCGCGATCTTCTTACTGTGAAGGAGTGGGAGGCCTCCTCAACTGCCTTGGAGGCTGTTGCTGCCTTGGAGGAGGAACTCAAGGAGGCTCGTGCAGAGGCTCAAGCGTGGAGATCCACCTCTGAGGCTGACAAAGCCGAGCTCAAGAGTGTCCAATTAGAAGCTGCTCGGCACCTGGAGAATCTGAGGGGTGAACATGTCGTAGTCAAGTGCCTCGAGAAGGAGAATTTCGTGCTGATGAAGGAAAATGACGAACTCGCACGCCTCCGAGAAGACCTGGAAGGCAAGCTCCAAAGTCGCGACTCCGAGATTGCAGAACTAAGGGCTAAGCTTGAGCTCACTGAGTCCAAACTTAGTAATGGGGTTCTCCTGGAGGAGATTTTTCGCCAGCACCCTGACTTTGACGGATTCGCCAAAGACTTCAGCGACGCGGGTTTTAAGTTCCAGATGAAGGGAGTCAAGGAGGTAGCTCTAGAGCTCGACTTGAGCCTATCAAGCTCAGGATGCCGAAAAGTGGGCTTCTGGCCTAAACGGGACTCCTGGCCCCTAGCACCTTATAGATCAATGCCGGAAGGAGCTTGATTCTGAGGCCGAACTCGACTAGAAAGAGAACGTAGACCCTTCTTCCCAAGTGGCTGATGAGACTCTCTTTTTTGTTGCCGGTGTGAACTCCTCCCAAGAGGTTGGGATGGTAGACTCCCAGGAAGTCGACATCCTCAGGTACCAAGATAAGCTAGGGTCACACCTCGGAAGCAACTGAGGCTCCTCCTTCTTTTACAGCTTTCTCATGTTATCTTCGACTTTTTGCTTTTTTGTACTTGGTCACCAGGTCTATACACCTCGGCCAAAACTTTACTTGCTAATGTAATATTTTATTGAAAACCAACTTTTGATCCTGCTATTCGTTTCATATCTCGAACTCGTAAGTTCTTTAGCGGTTTTGAATTTTTCTAAGTTTTAATCCACATCTCACCTCGAACTTGTAAGTTCTAGAGGCTCGAATTTTTCTAAGTTTTAATCCACATCTCACCTCGAACTCGCAAGTTCTAGAGGCTCGAATTTTTCTGTGTTTTAATCCACATCTGGCCCCATTTAATTTCACATCGAACTCGCACGCTTAGGAGACATGAAATTAAATAACACGGAGTCCTTTACTGGGATTAGCCCTTAAAAACTTTTACAAGTTCCAACTCATTTTTGGACCATTTTTAACGCTTCAAGGGTAATATCTCTTCAAATGCTCTACATTACACAGATGCAAAAGTAACTTTCCTTCGAGATCGGTGAGCATATATGTCCCAGGTCGGACTATGCCCTTGACTTCGAATGACCCTTCCCAACTCGGTTCCAACGCCTCAACATGCTTCTGCACCTTGCGGAGGACTAAGTGTCCGACCTGGAAACTCCGAGGTCGGACTCTCGAGTTGTAGTGCCTTGCCATTCGATTTTGGTATTCGGCCAAACGTAGCTGGGCTGCTTCCCTCTTCTCATCGATGAGGTCGAGGCTGAGAAGTAACTCCTCCTCGTTCCTAGCCTACTCATAGTAGTGCACTATCTCCATTGGCATCCCAATTTCTACAGGCACTACGGCCACGGACCCGAAGGCCATGGAAAAGGGAGTTTCTCTAGTAGACTCTCGAGGCGTAGTTCGGTAGGACCATAGTACTTCGGGTAGCTCCTCCGCCCATCGCCCTTTCCTGGTGTCGAGTCGTAGCTTAAGGCTGCGTTTAATGATCTTATTGACCACCTCCACTTGTTCGTTAGCCTTAGGGTGAGCTGGAGACGAGCAGAGGTGACTAATTCCAAGCTTGTGGCAGAAGTCTTTGAACTTGACATTGTCAAACTACTTCCCATTGTCAGTCACGATAACATTGGGTATGCCGAAACGGCAGACTACGTTTGTCCAAATAAAGGTCGTGACTCTAGCCTCTGTGATTGTCGAGAGGGCTTTAGCCTCGGCCCATTTGGTGAAGTAATCTATGGCAACAACTGCATATTTGGTCTGTCCCTTGCCCAATGGGAAAGGTCCAATAAGGTCAACTCCCCATTGCGCAAAGGGCCACGATGTTGAGATCGGAGTCAGCAGCTCGGGAGGTTGGTGGACGAGATTTGCAAAGCGCTGGCAGTTGTCACATGCTTTCACAAATTCCTTTGCATCTCGGTCTATCGTGGGCCAGTAGTAACTCTGACGAATGACCTTCGCTGACAGGGACCTGACCCTAAGTGGTTGCCGCAGACACCTTAGTCAACTTCTCTAAGAACGTAATTTCCATCTTCTTTGGAAATACACTTAAGGAGAGGTAAGGAAAAGTCGCGCCGGTATAGTGTCCCATCTCGGAGCAAGTACCGAGTTGTTTTCCTTGTCAATTTTTTGGCTTCCCTTGGGTCTACCGAGACTTTACGCTCTAGGAAGTCCTTGATCTGATCCATCCATGACAGAAGGTGTGAGTCGACCTCCATCATGTCCGACTCCAAAATAAAAGGATTGTCCAATATTTCCACTGGGACCGACCTCGTCAAGTCGGTCTCGTAAGTAGACGCTAATTTGGCTAAGGCGTCAGTGTTGGAATTTTGTGACCTCGGGATTTGTCTGATTTCGTAGGCCCGGAAGTAAGCATGGTTCGATCTGACCTTTCCCAAATACTTCTCCATCCGAGAATCTTTTGTTTGATACTCTTCTTTAATCTGATTCACTATTAGTTGTGAATCACTGAAAATTTGAAGGTGGGTGGCCCCAGCCCTCTTGCCATGCGTAGTCCAGCCAACAGGGCTTCATACTCGGCCTCATTGTTTGAGGTACGAAAGTTGAAGCGCAGGGCATATTCAAAACGCATGCCATCCACGTACATCGTCCACGGCTGGTCGGATGAGGAGGTTTGAGCTGGTAGAGGAGTGAGTTCGGCTACGAAGTCCGCAACGACCTGTCCCTTTATAGCCGTTCGGGGCTCGAACTGGACTTCGTACTCACTTAACTCCACAACCCATTTCATCAACCGTCCAGACGTCTCTGGCTTATGAAAAACCTGCTTCAAGGGTAAGTTCATGATCACGGTCATGGTATGGGGCTTCGAAGTACGACCTTAGTCTAAGTGCCGCAATGACTAAGGCGAGGGCCAGTTTCTCCATTTAGGGATACCTGGTCTCGGCTTTGGTCATGGCCTTACTCGTGTAATAGACAGGACTCTGCCGTACTCCATCTTGTTTGACCAGGGTTGAGCTGACAGCACTGTCTGACACGACCAAGTATAAATGTAGTTGATCTCCTGACATGGGCTTCACGAGCAACGGTGCCGAGCAGAGGTAGCGTTTGAGTTTTTCAAAAGCTGCCTCACACTCATCTGTCCACTCGAATGGTCCATTCGTTCTTAACACTTTGAAGAAGGGAATGCACTTGTCGGTAGATCTGGAGACGAACCGGTTGAGGGCAACAATTCTCCCATTAAGGCATTGTAGCTGCTTAAGGGTCCTCAACGCTTGCATCTCGAGAACACATTTATCTTCTCTGGGTTAGCCTCAATGCCACGATTATTAACCATGAACCCTAGGAACTTGCCAGACGAGACTCCAAAGGCGCATTTGGCAGGATTTAACTTCATTTGGTACTTTCTGAGTACCTCGAAGGTTTCAATCAGGTCGGCCAGGTGCGACCTGGACTGTCTGCTTTTGACAAGCATGTCATCCACATAGACCTCCATATTGCGTCCGATCTAGTTGGCGAACATTTTGTTCACCATCCTTTGATTAGTCGCCCCCGCGTTCTTTAGACCGAAGGGCATGACCTTGTAGCAGTATAGGCCTTGATCGGTTATGAAAGAGGTGTGGACTTGATCTGTCTCGTACATTTTTATCTGGTTGTATCCAGAGTAGGCGTTCATGAAGGTGAGCAGCTCATGCCCGGCGTAGCATCCACGAGCTGGTCAATCCTCGGTAGTGGGAGGCAATCTTTTGGGCAAGCCTTATTAAGATTGGAAAGTCTACACACATTCTCCACTTTCCGTTGAATTTTTTAACCAAAACAACGTTAGAGAGCCACTCGAGATACATAATTTCTTTAATGTATTCAGCTTTGAGAAGTTTGTTTACTTCCTCAACAATTACATCACTCATCTTTCTTTTTACAAGTCTTCTTTTCTGTTTGACAGGTCGGAATGATGGGTCAATGTTGAGGCGATGAACCATTATCTTCGGATCAATGCCCAACATGTCTTCGTGAGACCATGCGAACACGTCTGAGTTCGCCCTAAGAAAGGAAACGATGGTCCCGAGCTTGGTGCCTATGCTTACTTGCTTTTTCGAGCTGAGCAGAGGGACAAGCTCCAGTTCTTTAATGGACGCAGCCACCTCGCGTTGGTTGGTCTTGGGCTGCTCGTCCTCGGAGCTGCGGGCTGCTGGACTTAGAAGGTTTGATTGCTCTTCCAAAGTGCAAACTGCTGACCCTTTAAGTGTAGAGGTATAGCATTCCCAGGATGTTTTCTGCTCTCCTCGAATCATGCCGACTCCGTTGATCGTAGAGTACTTCATAACTTGGTGCAGAGTCGATGGGATGGCCCAAAGTGAGTGGATAACAGGTCATCCGAAAATGGAATTGTAGGACGACCTGCCATCTATCACCACGAACTCGGCCATCTGAGTGACTTGAGTGTCACCTTGGCCGATAGTGATGGGAAGATCAATGTAACCCTTCGGGGTGACTGATTCTCCCGAAAATCCAACTAAGGGGGTTGAACTCTTCTTCAACTGTGTCCTGGTCCATCCCAGTGCTAGGTAAGTGGTGAGAGATAGAATGTTGGCGGAAGCGCCCCCATTTACCAGCACCCTTCTGACCTGGACATGGTCGATCAACGGTGAGATCACCAGGACATCATTGTGGGGCAAGTGTACCCTTCCAGGTCGGAGTCAGAGAAGGAAATGGGACAGGCCGGCCTCTGCTCTGAATAGTGCAGACTTCACGCCGAGCCTCCCTGGCCAGTTCCTTTCTCTTGTTTCCAGACTGGGCCCCACTAGGGCCACCAAAGATTGTATTGATGATCGCAGGTCGGTCATCTCTCCGAGGTGGCGTCTTTGAATGCTTCCTCTCTTCTTTTTTCTGTGCCGAGCTCGCGCCCGGCTTGCTTACATATTTTTTGAAGTAGCCATCTTGAACCAGGTCCTCAATTTGGTGCTTCAATTCCCAGCAACTCAAGGTATCATGGCCGTCGTCGCGATGGAAACGGCAGTACCTGTCTTTGCTGCATTTTTCCGGATGTCCTCTAAGCTTATCAGGTCGCTTGAGGAGCTTTTCTAACCCGTTCTCCTCGATATTGGTAAGAATCTCAAAGATCAGAATAGTGGTTGGGGTGTACCTCTCATAGGGCCCCCTTCGGTTAGAGTCCGAGTTGGATCTCCTGTATTCAGATCGGCTCTGTACGGGTTGAGAAGATGATCCTTTGTCCTTGGATTTAGAATCGAACTTCCCTTTGTCTTGACCGCCTGACTTTCTCTAGTCGGACCTCTTGTCTGTTTGACCTAGCTTGGTTTTGAGCAACTCCTGCCCATCTAGGACCTTCTTGGCTTTCTGCAAGACCTCAGCAAAGGTTGACGGTGCTTCTTCACCCAGTTTAACCGTCAGAGTCTCGTCGGCCAGGCCAGTAAGGAAGTAGCACATGGCCGAGTCGTCAAAGCAGTGCGCGACCTTAAGTTGTTCTTCTTTGAAGCGGGTCACGTACTCTCTCAAAGTCTCGTCTTCTTTCTGTCGGATGGTGGCGAGGTGGGTGGCAGTCTTTGGTCGTAATGCCGAGAAGAGAATGGGCTAATGAAATCTTTCCTCAGCCGGCCATAAGTCG